AGGGAGGGAGGGGGAGAGACAGAGGGAAGGAAGGGGGGAGATGGAGGGGGAGAGAGGGAGGGAGGGAAAAGAGAGGGAGAGAGGGAGAGAGAGGCCATGCATGCCCGCTTCCTGGATGCCTGGGGCCTTATCAAGTGTGCTATAGGATTCACTCCACGTGCAGTTGTGCAGTTAAATGTCTATTAAGTGTGAACAGTCACGCGACCATCCATCACCCCAAAATGTTGCCTTGTGTCCCCCACAAGGCACTGTTACATTCGATCCTCAGGATAGATGTACTAAGTGGGTGTTGGCCTGTTTGCAGATGAGAAAACTGAGGCTGCAGACTGTGCCACAGCCACATGGCTAGGAAGGGGTGCAGTGCAGACTCAAACCCACATACTCAGCCTCCTCAGGGGGGCAGACCCAATATTTCACGTCTCTCCTTTCCTCCACAATCTGCCCTCCCGTGTTTCTCCTCATTCCGTTTCAAGTGGAGTTGGAGCATGGTTGCTTGAGGGGCCCAGACTCAAGTTCAGATCCCCCAAGACAGAGGGTGGAAACTACAGCTTTCTGACCCGTGTCCCAGCCCAGCCCATGTGGACATCCTCCTCCCCTCTCACCCACCGTGTTTTGAAATATACAAAGAAAAAAGCGAATTCCTTGGGCATTGTCATTTCCTGGAAAAAGAGTTTAGGAAAAATGTATCAGTTTCTCCTTTTAAAAGTTCCTTCAGACACTACGCTAAATGAAAGAAGCCAGATACAACAGGCTACCTATTCTACGATGCCATTTATGTGAAATGCTCAGAACAGGCGAACCCAAAAACAGAAAGCAGATGGTGGTGGCCCATGGCTGGGGGAGGGAACAGGGAGTGACTGCTCACAGGTATGGGGTTTGTGTCTGGAAGGATGAAATAGCTCTGGAACGTTTTCATTAGGCTGATGGTTGCACAATGCCGTGAATGTACTTAATGCACTTAATTGTACATGTAATGGTTATAATGGTACATTTTATATGTATTGTACTACAATTCTAAAAAGTTTCCTCAGGATAACATTTCCTACACAAAGCCCATTTATGTTTCCTTCCTGAGATGGTCCTTAACATCCGTTTTGGTACTCGGCCCCTTGGTGAGCTAGCAGTCTGGGCCCTGGGGCCACTACAGGTTAAAGAAGCACGGCGGCCACTGTCAGCTGAAAACCGCGGCAACTGTGATCTTATGGCCTGGCCTCCGTGTGGGGCCCCTGCTGTCCTTACCTTCATTCCTTCTTCCTTCCCGCTCTCAATCAGTTTGTCTATTCGCTTCCTTTCTTCAGACTGAGTGGAGATGAAAGAACAAGATGTCAGCATTGTCTCCTGGCCTGTTCTGGGCAGCCCTGGCCACCCAGGACACCCACAGGGTCACTCAGTTTACCTCCATGACAGTGGTCCTGGAAGTGCCTAAGCCCTTACACCCCCACCTTTTTCCACCCATCCGTTGTGGACGGTTTGCTACCTGGGATTCAACTGGACTATAAAGGACACATGGTGGCAGCAGAACTGGGTTGGGCTATATTCTGTTTAAGTCATTGATACCTAAGCATCAGGACTCTGACATCACATAAAATCAGCTGGAGTTGAACAGGTGCATGCCCTTGAGGAGGATAAGGTACACTCCACACTCCTCCCACCTACTGGCCCCTAAGGGCGTCTGGGTTCAGGATCTCTGAGCTGCATCTCCATGACTGTGGTGGAGAGGAGGGCCTCCCACCCTAAACAGTCAGCACCCCCTGATGGCCAAGTAAGAAAGGAGTGGACACTCCAGTCTCCTGTCCCTGAGGCCCTTCCTGGCACGTACCTCCATCCCCAACGCTGGTTCCACTGCTCTGGGGACACTAGGGCAGGCAGAGGGAGCTCTGACCAGACAGACCAGAAGCCCTGCCCACCAACTGTATAGCACCTGCAGGGCCAGCCTGTAGCCCTTGTGGACTTGTACATCAGTCCACATAGATTTCTGGATGGCTGTGGTATGTGCTGGGACACGTAGGTGAGCAAGACCAGGCCTCTGCAGCTCCCTTAGGAGGGGTTTACTGTTGCTATGTCACACCCTCACTGGGCAGCCCAAATCCAGCTGACCCTGCTCCAGTTCTACTGCCCCAGCCAGCCAGGCCCAGATGTCTGTCTGTGACAGCTGCCTCACAGGCCTCCTGGCTTCTGCTCTGACCACCACCCATTCTCCAGAAGCATCCAGAGGGGTCTTCTAAAAATGAGATCATGTTGTTTCCCTGATTAAAACCTTCCAGTAAGTTCATTCAATAGTAATATACAGAGTTGGCTCCTGAAAGAGACAAATGTACCAGGGGACCGTAAGATGTCAATGACAAGGGAAACTGGGTGAGGAGCCTATGGGAACACTTGGTACTATCTCTGCCACTCTGTAAATCTAAAATTATCACCCAATAAAAAGTTTATTTAAAGAAAAAAAAAAGCCTTGCAGTAGCTTCCCACTGCTATGGAATAAGAGCTATTTTTCCAGTGGACTCTGAATCCTGCAGGATCCAGGCCCCACCTAACTAGCTTCTTATGCCACTGTCACCTTTGTGCCCACACTCCAGCCACACTGCTGGCTCTTTCAGGCAGGCTCATCCCTGCCTCACACACTTTCTGTTCTCCCAGCCTGGGGTACCTTCTCCCCAGTTAATTTGCCTTGCTTGCTTCCTTCTTTCCAAGCTCTGCTCAAAAGGCATCTCCTCAGAACAACTCCCTTTAGCCTGGCCACACTGTCAAACCACTGTCTTATTAAGTTAATGTCAAAGTGCCATCTGAAATTACCTTGCTTTTGGGTTTAAAAAAAAAAATTATTATAATGAATATAAACTCCATTAGTACAGAGACCTGACCTTGTTCACTATGCAATCTTTTGGCTGATAACAGTGCCTGGCACATAGTAATATCACTCACTCACTCACACACAAACACACACCACACTGCACATGGTAACATCACTCACTCACACACATACCCTTGCTGAACTCATTACGACTATGCAGAGACTATTGAGAAAACAGGAGTTAATAGTGGGAAAACGGGGGTAAGGACTGGGGATTTTCCTGCCATGACTGAACATGGCACAGACGCCGAGGGAAGCTGGGACAAGGGTAGATCCCTGAATGCAAAGCCCAAAGGTTGAGTTTCATTCTGGAGGCTGAGGGTTTGGGACATGCAAACAGCCAGCTCTAGGTTTCCTAAATAGAATTCCAGCAGCAGCCCACAAGGCAGCCTTGAGGCAGACCAGTGGGAGGTAAGGGAGGTCTGAATTAGAGCTGGAAGGAGGGACAGATGGAAGACATGCCCAAGGCAATCAGCAGGCTGCTCTGCACCTCCGGCCCAGGGCTGAGCCGGAAATGGAGGCCAGAGCACTGCCAACAGGATGAGTTCCTGCCCCAATACTGGCCATCATCCCACCACATCCCGGCCAACCAGCTAAGGGGCCCCACAGTGAAGCGATGAGGAGCTTGAGCATCTCTCCAAGACCATTTCCACCTCTCGCCCCGGCCCCAACCCCGGCACTGGCCCTGCCTACTCTGTTTTCAAACTCAATGAGGTGTCTGCAAAGCTTTTAATCTCAGTTTCACCCTTGGCTACCTCACCCCTCTCTTATGCCCCACCCATCTGGGCTCTGGCTTCTGCCCCCTAGGACAGGCAAGTCAGGACTGACCACACCCCTCAGGTGAGGCCTGGCTGCCCTGGCCTCGAGCTTTACCTGTGCAGTCAGGAGATACCACCACCCTGGCCAGCCAGTCTCATCGTCCAGCCAACAGCCACCTCACTGCCTGGCCAGCAACCACCTGGCCGTGGTGTTCACTCAGCAGGGCCACATAAACCACGAGGGGGGCAGCATGGCTCTCCCTTGCAGCTGGCTCCTCATCCTGTGACAGAGCTAGCTTAGTTGTATGCAGGCCCGGATCTGGGGAAGCAAGTGTCTTCCCTTGCGCTCACCAGCTGCAAGATTCAGCGGACCTGCATCCTGTCCCACTGCAACCTTCATTCCTCCAGACAGAAAAGCCCTTGTGATTTCATTAAAGAGGCAAACCCAGCTGCCCCCAACCTGCAGCTCCCAGCCACTTGGTGAGCCCCCAGCACTCTGTGTGGGCAAACAGTGGCTAAACCACACCTGGGAGGGGTCTTGGGTTTGGGGCCTGGCACCGCCCCAGCCTCTGAAGTGCTGTCTTTAGCACAGCCTCCCACTGCAGGCAAACATAGCAGCTCATTCTTGGCCAAAAGACACTGGCTTTCTAAGGAAATAAAGCCAAAGTTTCTCTCTACATGGAAAAATGAATCCCCCTTTTTAGTTTGTTTTTTAAAATGAAGCCTTATCAATTCAAAGAAAAAAAGAGAGAAAAGACTACATTACCATATATGTATCTACAGATTTTAGCATAAAAAAAGCTGAAGGAGTCTGTGTGTGCCTACAAGGGCCCACCACCACCACTCTGTGGAGGTGGCAATCCTGAGCAGGGCTCCTCCAGCTCCAGTTCTGCCTAGAGGTTGCTGTAGGGGTGTGGGAGAGCAGAGGGGCCAGCCCAGACACCCCTCGGGGAAGGCGGAGGTAAACAGCCCCTGGGCTACAGGGCCAGGCCACACTCTGGGTTCCCTTCACAGAAAGGCAACCACCACACCTCACTGCATCAAATACTGACGACTGCTGCATAGCTTGGCACTCTGCAAACACTGGGCACAGACAGTCCAGCCAGCCTTCCTGCCTGTGACCAGGGTGGGAAAGAGCAGACAGGAGCCTTGGGAGGTGACAACAATGGGAGAACATATGTGATCATAGTCGTGGGTGACCAGCGCTTACCGTGTTCCAGGCACGGTTTTAAATGTTCTACGTGCATTTACACATCTAATTCTCCCAATAACCCCCTGGGACACTGCTTTATTATCACACTGTACAGACAGGGCAGCGAAGGCACAGTGCAGTTAGGTAACTGGTCTGAAGTCATACAACCAAGTTACTGCTCTTTAACCACCTTAAGACACCACATGGAAACTTCTGGACTCCAGACAAACTTCTAAAAGGACAAGCAGCCTACCCCATGGTCTCAGGCTCCAATGGCCCTGCCAACAAGTCCTGAAAAATGCACCTGCAGTGTTAACACCTGACTTTCCATGCCACATGCTACAAGTATGAGGCTTCTTCACGGAAGCATCTGAGCCAAGCCTCCTGGTGACGCCCACTAGACCAAGAATACCAAGGCCACAGAGACAGACTTGCCCCAACATGACAAAAAGAAAGCTCAAGTTGTGTGTGCCAAGCAGTGCCAAGCAGCTCCAAGAGCTGGAATGGAAACCACGTGATGCCACCTGCAGCTCAGCCTTGCTCTTCCTGGAGCTCCTGCGCACAGGGTAGAAGTCTGTGAGTTTGCGGTTCTGTTGCGTTTTTCCTTGAGCCCTGGGGTGGACGAGAAGAGGAGAACAGAAGTATTAGCGCTCAAATCACACTCACACCCCAGCAGCACACAACGTCTTAGCAGGCAGCTCCTTGGAAACAATGTCACTCAAAAACCGTTTTCTACTGTGGTCCCACAGGTTCACCTGCCTGTGGAGTCCTCAGAAAGGGCATCAAAGGCAGGCTTGCCTACTCTGGGGAGGGGAGGAGACCCATATACCAGACTGAGATGCTGACAAATAATGGTGTCACTGGTGGCAACACAGGGAATCTGAGCCTTAATGTGAGAATCTAAGAGGGTGGACTGCTTAACCCAGGCTCTGCTGGGTCAGAAGAACCTAACTGCTCTGCGCTGGGAGGGCACTGGAGGCACTTACTTTTTCTGAGGGGACTGCTTGCCCCTGACGGGCTTTTTCAGGGCTTGCTTGGCAACGGCTGCATTGGGAGAATCACAAGACGAGTTTGGAGTTTTGGGAGGTTCTGCTGCTTCAGATTTTTGGTTTGGAAAAGGTACCAGGGGACCTCTCCTGGCGTCTTTGCTCTTCTGCTCCTCGGCCTTCACGGTGCTACGTATTGTGTTCCCAGGGTTTCTTTTTTCTGTAGGCAGAGGGTAGAAGACAGTTTATTCTCAACTCTCTGCCTCCCTGTTTCTAGACTGTCTGCTGGGTTCTAAGAGGATCATGGGTGTCAGGCAGAGGTGTCCTCGGCCTAGGATGCCCATATCACTACCACCTCAGAAGCATCACCTTTACTTTTTAACCCAGACAGTGGGCAGAGCTTTTGGTCTTCTCTATCTCCTTTTTTTCTCTTGGCTATACTGAGGTACAATTTGACAAGTAAAACTGTAAGACATACAAACTGTTCCTTGTGATGATCTGACATACATATGTACCGGAAAAGGATCCCTCCCACCCAATTCATTAGCACACCCTGTCTCCCACATCTTGATGAGGGAGAGCACCCTGGAAGCAGACAGCAGAACCACATGAACACTTGGTCAATAGCTTTTGGGAACTGAGCTGCAGACCCCAGAAAAAAAACTAAACTCCTAAAGAGTGGGCCAGCAATAATGAACAAGAATAAGGCCATAAAGGAGAACTTCCTCCTCAGCACAAAGACCTCTTACCCAAGAGCTAATTCCTTTCAGATTCTAAAAAAGAGCTCCCTCCGCCTTTATAAAGGGGTGGAAGACCAGCATTCAGGGCCCAGACACTGGTCAGCAGGTCATGAGGGGTGCTAAAAATAGTCTGTTACTGAAAATACTTGTGGAGCACCATAACTGGTGAACTTTTCACTTTTTTTTAACCTAATGATTTACTCTTCACAAATTAGTAAATAATGCATTGCCGATAGGAATGTAAAATGGTGCAGTGACTTTGGAAAAGAGTTTGGCAATTCTTCAAAAAGTTAAACATTGAGGGACCTTATGCCCCAGCAAGTCTACTCCTAAGCGGTTTTAATAAGAGAATTAAAAACATGTGCCTACATAAAAACCTGTATACGAATGTCTATAGCTCATTCAAAATAGCCAAAAAGTGGAAACAACCTACATCAGTCCATCAACTGATGAATGGGTAAATAAAACGTGGTAAATCCACATGATGGAGATTTATACAGAAAGGAATACAGCACTGGCACACGCTACAACATGGATAAGCCTTGAAAACATGATGCTGAGTGAAAGAAGACAGACACAAAAGGCCACATATGTGTGATTCCATTTCTAGGAAATGTCCAGAACAGTGAATCCACAGACACAGAGAGTAGATTAGTGGTTGCCCGCAGTTGAGGGAGGAACGGGGAGTGGCTGCTAATAGGTACCTGTTTGTTTTTTTGCAGGGGGTGGAATGTTTTGGAATTAGACAGTGGTTGTACACATCTGTGAATATATTAAAAACCACTGAATTGTATACTTTAAAATGGTAAACAATATGATATTTGAATTTTATCTCAATAAACAAAGAAAAAAAAGTGCAGCAAAACCCATCCAGACCATTCTCACTCCCTTACATGCCTTCCTGAGTGGAAACAGAGGTAGTTAAGGCCAGGATGTCAGCTATAACCCTAGGAGTGGGTGGTACCCTTGACTATCAGCTGTCTCATCCATTTGCATCAAAGCAGAAAAAAGGTAGAGAACAAAGGACAAGAGCCTGGCCCTTGGGGATTGCTGCAAAGTAAATTCAGTCCCCAAATTCTCCTTGTTGCCATTTAGTAACAGTATGAGCCAAATAAGCTGGCTTGTGTACCATGTCACCATTTAGGAAAAATCACATTCTTTCCCACTCCAGAAGGGGTGTGAGGCTGTAGGAATACCATTTAGAGAGAGTGCCCTCCCCCATCCGTGTGAGGCAGGTGCTATTCTAAGTGCTGCCGAAGCAGGGAAGAGCAGGTTGTGATACATGCAGTCCAGAGGAGGAAGGGTTGTTGGGAGAGAGCACTTCACCATGCCCTTCTGCACCTGTGCTTTAACCCACCTTCAGAATAGCCCTGAGAGGTAGGATTCTTTTCTCTCCCACTTTAGGGATGGAAGAACTGAGGCTCAGAAAAGAGGAACAACCCACCTAAACCTAGTGGCAGAGCTACGATTAGAACCCACGTCATTTAAAGACTGACTGAAATAGTATCACTGTCCACCAGGGGGGGAATCAAGCCAAGTACTGGCTCCTGCCCCTCATTCCAGGCTTTCCCACCCCTGGTTCTTAGATCTGACCTCAGAGGTTGGGCTACACCATCATTTCTGACATTTTCTGTTAACAAATACAAGCCTTCCTTGTATCGAGCTGCTGGTAGCCAGAGTTCTGCTTCTTTAAAGCAAATTTTAAATAGAAGGGAGCATGGTTGAGTTGGGGAAAGCTCAATGCAACTTTAAAAGGGAATATGTGGATTACAACAAGACTTCTATAAGGTTTCACCTTATTTTTCAGGGCCAGACAGAATTTTCAGTAAATGCACATTTAAGCGTTCAATAATTTATTTTCAAATCTCATCACAGAGGATGCTGCTTTGGAGAATAACCCTGAACACTTGAGTGGAAAGAAACTTTAAAAATGAGGTCAAGGCTGGCTCATAAAAGGGAAGGAAGTCAGTTTCCTGTGTTCACACAACACAGGACTGCAAGTGCCTGGTATGTACATTTCTGGCACCTGTGAGCCTCTTTACTGCAGGTCAAGTGCCTTATTTTTGCAACTTGGCAAGACAACATGCTAACTCTTGTGAAAAAAGGGAGAACCTGCCAGACACCAGGGCATACACCCTGGAATGGGTCATTCTTTCCTGTGTCTGTTTTTCTTAGCATCAAGACAGAAAACATGGTTCAAACCTTTTGAATTTGAGTTTGAAAAGAATGGAGAAACATTTCATATATATGCATAATTACGGAGGAGAAAAGCTTCTGCAACCTGACTGTGGTCAGAACTGGGCCATTTCAGAGGCTTACCTTCTCGTTTCCTGTAGATCCCAGCTAATGGCTTCCCCTGGCATTTGACTTCGTGATGTGCAACTGAGTTCTCTTCCTGAAGGGGGGAACGCATTCCAGAGCATTTGTTGGGGCTCATGTAGGAATAGATCTTTGATTGCCCGGTAAATACATTCTCCTAAAACGACAAATGCATATTCTGAAAGAGGCTTGAAGAAGACTAAATCCCATAGCATTTAGGGGAGAACAGATAATCAGAATACAAAAAACAAAAAAGACATCATCTCTCAAAGGCTGGGCTACCAGGGGATGACAGCCCGGAGGAGCAGTGGAAGGTCTGGAATCTTCCAGGCCCAAGTCGGACGTTTCCTGAATACATGTGATCTCTAATTCTGGTCACTAAAGGGACATCTGGCCAGCAGCTATACACAAAGGTCTACATAAAGAGACAACCTAAAAGTGGCAGGGAGGTCAGAATGACCCAGAGGAAACAAATTTGAAGGGCTGGCCTATGTGCTGGAGCTAACAACTCCCCTGGCAGTTGGTGAAGGGACTCTAGCACAGAAATAGGCCTCAGGGAACCTGGTTAACCACTTCTTGGTCCTGAGGGTAGCTGGTAGGACTCGCCATTATTGCCTGAGCCTTCTGTGTGCCAGGGTTGGCACCTCTCAAATCAATACAGCCCAGCAGCCTCCCAGGACTAAGGGTCTGGACTTCGGTTGGAGGAATTCTGAGGGTAACTGGGGACTGGGTGGGGGTGGAGAGCTCAATGAAAGCACAGCCCACAGCCACCGCACTCAGGAGTCACTCCATTGCAGAAGGTATCTGGGCGTTAGCGGGAGAGTGGGACAGGCCGGTGGGGCGGCACAGGTCACTGAGGTGTCTCTGGGCGGGGGCCGTTCCTCTGAGCAAGCAAAGACAGGAGGAAGGCATCCCCAGAAACACTGCTAGGGCATTTCCGCTGGTGAACCATTAAACACCAAGTCGGCAAGACCCGTGACCTCTCTGAGGGACCCGGGCAGGCCCCGCGCACCCTGGGAAGGCGGCCACCTCGGGGTAGCTGGGTTTCGGGGTGCGGAAATGCCATAAAGAGACAAACTTTTCCGAGGTCAAACAGTGCCGGAGTTATGGCGGAGCGAGAGCGGACGCCACTCCCAGGCAGGCAGTAGAAAAGGAAGCTGCCCGGCCGGGCGCCCCGCCCGCACCCCCGCCCAGGGCGGCGGGCGGGGGTCCCGGGGGCGCGCCCACGTGCTCACGGCGCGGGGCTGACGAGGCGGCCGCCGCACGGCCCCTGGGGGCGCGCTGAGTGCCGGGAAGGTGCCTGCTTACCCCGTTGGTGCGGGGCCTCCCCGGGCCCCTCCGCTCCACCATCTCCGGGCCCGGGGCCGTCGCTGCCACCGCCGCCGCCGCCGCCGCCGCCTCCACCGCGCGGGGCTTGGACATCTTCCTGCCTGGAGAGGGGGACCCGGGGGAAGCGGGGGAGGGGGCGCTCAGGGCGCGGCGGGGCGGGGAGCGGAGCCGCCCGGGCCGGGCGCCGCAGCGGCGCCTCCCGCCGCGGCCATGTTCCGAGGGCCCGGCGGCGGTGGGCCGCCCGCGCCGTGGGGAGGCAGGGGCCGGCCGGCCGGGCCGGGGCCCGCGCCGCCCTCCCGCCGCCCGGCCCGGCCGGGCCCCGCCCGCCCCCAGCGCGACCGGGCCCGACACACCCACCTGCAGCCCGGCCGGGCCCATGGCGGCGCGCCCCGCGCCCTCGCCGCCGCGGCCCGGCCACCACCGCTGCCGATGCCGCTGCCGCAGCTGCTGCCGCCGCCACCAGCGCCGCCGCGGCGCCCCGGGGAAGGGCCGGCGGCGCCCCACGGCGCCCCCTTCCCCCATGGCCTGTGACGCCGGGCCCGACGCGCGCCGCGGCAGCCCGGCCGGCCCGGCCGAGGACGAAGGAGGGAGGCGCTGGCAGCGCGTCGTCCCGCTCGCCGCCGCCCACCGTCCGGCTCCCGGCCCGGGGCGGGGCTGGCAGGGGCGGCGCTGCGAGGCTCCTCTGAGGGAGGGAGGCGGGCCCCGGCCGCGGCGAATCCCGACTCGGGCGCGCCCCCTCTCGCGTGCCCGCAGCCGCTCTGGGAGGAAGGGGTGGGAAACATGATAATGACAGCCCAGTTCTGGGGGACCGGGCTCCTCTCGCTAGCTCAACGGTATTTCGGGAAGACCCGTCCGTGCCAGCTCGATCCGCAGCGGCGACGAACGCGTCAAGGCCAGGGTCCCTGTGTGCCTGAGCCTGTGCTCACAGAGCATTTTGATGGGCATATTCAATCCTCTCCGCAAGCTCACGGGTCGGGGGCGGGCAGGTCCCGTGGCAAACCTGTTTAAGATGAGGCTCAGGGGAGGTGCAGGGGCTTGCCCAAGACCCCAGGACTAGAAAGTGATGGGGTCAGATGTCAAACTAAGGCGGTCTGTGCTTGACCTGTACAGGCCCCGGAGAGAAAGAGCAGGGGTTAAATGTGAAGTTTGTTGGGTGCTTCTGCGTATGTTCTCTCATTCAAGACTCACAACCGCCCTCTGAAGGTAGACACCATTAGTATCTCTTTTCCACAGATGGGAAAGCCAAGGTTCAGAGAAATTAGAAGCTTGGCCAAATTCTCAGAACTAGAAATGGAATTCCAGGCCAGCTCACCCCAGAGCCTGCGCTTAAGGCACCACCCTCCAGTTGCAGATGAGGAAATTCAAATTGGGAGGAGCAAACGGTGTTGCAGAAAGGCTTAACAAGTCACTCAGTGCTCCTGTCCCCACGCCCATGAGGAAATGTCTTAGGCCGGAGTTCCAGCCACTCTGGTATTTTGTCTCAGCGTAGGTCACTGCCCTGCACCACTGTGCTTAGCTATCAGGGTTTCAGGGCCCACAGCCAAGGAGTCATTGTATTTGTGCAAAGTCATAGATGCAAACAAGACACAGGGCATCTATCTCTGATTGCTTGAGTCATGGTCTGGTAGGCAAAGATTGGGTTTCTCTCCCTCCGTCTGCCCCAGAGGTGCTTTGTGACCATGGCCAAGTCATTTCCCCAGTCTCAGTGTCATGGATAAAAAACAAGAACCTTGAATTCCATAATCACCCAGGGCACCTTCCAAAATCCACAGATAAACAAATGGCTGTCACTCTAAGTAACTGCCTCTCCTTAGAAGGGATAGGCTGAATAGGATTATATGTCAAGACACTGTTCCCAAATCAGCTCACCCTTTAGAACCCACCCTAACCACTAACTCCAGTGCTCTGGTAGGTAGGGCACGCTGCCCATTTGAATACCCAAGAGACTATGCAGAGAGTGAAAGAGAATTCTAAAGTGACCCTCTGACCCCCAGGTCCTGCCTTTTGAAACAGTGCCCATTACATCTGCAGAGCAGAGAAGGTTTGCAGTTTGTTGCCAGACTATTATGGAAAACTTGGTTTCGAAGCAGGGAGCAGCCACTCAGATCATCTTGTCCGCTTCACATATATTTTAACACCCCACCCAACACACACACATACTCAGAGCCATAGGTTTCTCTATTTTAGCCCTCAACAGCAGTAGATACATTAAAACACAAGTCCATCACCCGTTCCTCTGACCTCTGCAACTCTATTATGTAGAAGATGTAATACAATTCAGTATAAGTTTAAAAACAATTCTTCCTTTCTCTCTATATGAGGTGTTCATATGTACATAACAAATGTACCCATTGGCAGAAATAAAAACTCTTTAATGTTGCCCAGATCTCATAGAAATAGAATTCAACAGCAATGATACGAATAGCTAACATTACTGAATGTTTATTATATGTTAGACCCTGTAATAATGCATTATTTAATTTAACCTTCATAGCCATTTATGAGAAGGTACTATTTCTATTTCCAGATGTGAAATAGAGGCTGGGGAAGATAAATTACTTGACTAGGGATTATACAACTAAGGTAGTGACAAAGTTGGAGTCGGAACCCAGTTCTGTTATACAAGTACAAGGGTGCTTTACCATGAAGAATATATTGCTTCCCTTGAACTCAAGCACAAAAATATCAATCCATTCATCCAACAAACATTTATTGAATACCTACTTTATTCCAGGCCCTCTGTGCTAAGGACATGAGAGTGCACACAGAGACAGATGGAGCACAGTAAAGCCAGAGAGGTCCAGCAGGGCCCTGCAGGCCATGGTGAGGATTGTGGACTTGATGATCCTAAGAATTAAAGGGAGCCTAGGGGAGAGAAGGTAGTGGTCATATGATAAAAATCTATGTTCTTAGGGACCACTCTAGCTGCTGAGGGGTAATAAAGTGGAGATGGTAAAAGTAGAAAGAGGGAGACCAACAGGAGCTGACAGTGGCAGTAGAGATGGAGAAAAGTAGATGGACTGATCCTCCTCAAACTAATATATTTGAGGGGGAAAATATATGCGATTGTAAAACTTCAACACGAGGGAGGAGTTGCCTGGTATCTGATCATTTTGTTCACATGATCCAGCAGCGGTCTTTAAGGCAACAACAAGTTTGGAATAAGACTACATTTCCAGAAGAAAAAGATGAAAGATTGTAAATGGTTTGATATTTATGACACCAAATGCCCAAAATTCTGCATGAGTAATGAAGCCTAGGAAATAAGTAACAATTAATTTGGGGGTCAAGTAAGATGGAATCACTAACCCATAATCACAAAGGTGAGTCATAAGCCTGCCATGGTAGTGGCTGGAAACCCTTGTGTTCGTTTTGGCCAAGGGAGGTATGTGGAACAAGCAAAGATACAGCATGGCCAGAGTCTAGACAGTGACTTTGAACTTCAGTTTCCACCTCTGAAAAATGGGAATAACAATCTATAAAAATTAACTGAGATAATAAAGTGCCTGGCCCTCAATGGTAATTATTCTTTGTCCATATTATTTAAGTATTTGAATAGCAAAGTGCTCAGTTTCGTTTCTCCCTATAGATTAGTTAAAGCAAACTCTTTTCTTTTTCTTTTAATGCACTACTGTTGAAATGTAATTTAAATGATTTTGCTGTGATGGGAAAAATTAACCAGGGAAGCATAGCCTTATTAAGATTTGTCAGATACTATTAAATATACTTTCAGATGCTTAACACTTTTCTGAAGAGAGATACTCAACTTTCTCTGTGGATTGGGTTATGATGCTTTTCAACTTGAAGTTCATTGTGACTCATTTATTAATCAGAATCTGGGTAAGTCTGGTCCCAGAAGAACCTAAGGGGTTGCTGGGAGAATAAATGATGCAACTGCGTGTAGGGCCTGAAGCAAAGGGGCCCAATAATATTTGCTGAATGAATTTTTCTTTTTTTCATTATTATTGTTATAGGGAGTACTACATTAAAGGCTGATTACTATTAACATGTTATTCCCTGGAATTTTGAGAAAAATGTGAAACCTCAACTTATTTTTTTTTAAATAGTAATGCTACCAAACCATCACGCTCAAGTTTTTGCATGGAGACAGAGCCGCTGAAAATGACCGGCGGCTGGAGATCCCTTTTGGCGCATAACATGGGTCTTACCGTCCTGACAGAAAACTAAGTGTGCCAAGGACTTCAGGCAGGGACATCACCTCCCGCGGCTATACAATCACACCCAAGCCATCTCTCGTGGGCAGGAGTTCTGACCTGCTGCGGCACGAAGGCCTCTCAGAAGGTGCCAGGGGACTCGTCTCACTCCAAAGTGGGCCAGCGGGTCGAGTCCGCGCCCCGGCACCGCAGAGCTGACTCAGGGCGTGGGGAGAGAACTAAGGCGCCTGCCGCGGTGTCTACTCCGCCGCGTTCCCCACGATTACAGACTAAGCCCTCGCCTCGGGGTCACCTCCCTTTGCACCGAGAGCCCCGAAGAGGGCGAAGCCTCGCCCTCCCCCGTCTTTGTATCAATAACAACAGTTCCCTGGAGGTGCCCTGCGCTTCAGTTTCCAAAGAGCTTTGACAGATGGATCCGTTGCCTCTGGAGAGGCAGAGGCAAGCCACCGGGGTGCCCAGGCTTTAGAGGTGAAATCCGAGGCACGGGAGTGGGAGGGGCTTCTGAGGGCTGGAGGTGGCGACAGGTTCCGCAGCCGGTCCCCCGCCCTCCCAGGTCCCGCGCTCCTTCCGAGCAGCCCGCGGAAAGATGCCTCCCGCCGCCGCTCCCGCCACCCCGGTCACCCCTCCAGCTCGACCTCCCACTTAAGCCGCCCCGGCGCCGGCCACCTGGGCCAATACCTCTAGCCATGGCCCCGCTCTGTCACCGCCCAGGATCTCCCGGGAAACGCAGCTTTCGAAAAAAGTTGCAACAACTATAGCAAACTGAGCTACAGCTGCTGCCCTGATTGGCACGGCTGCCCGCCTCTCCCCAGGTTGCGTGCAGTGATAGGCAAGCTGGGGAGGACCAGCCCACCCTTTCCCCGCCTCCCCGGCAAGGTGAGAGGCCACACTTTCTACAAACGCTCTCGGGACAGGTCTCGGCGGAGGAGGTAGCGGGGTGGGGGGGGGG